AGACCCTCACTGCCACCCTTATGCCTCCCATTTCCGTTAAGCAGCCCGAATACCTCCCGTGCCATGTTAGGGTTCGAAAACACACTTGCGCAAGACTTCACAAAAGTGGAACACACTCCATTATATCATACTCTTGAATCAATCGTTCATTATCTCATAAAATTTAATGCAATGATCGCAACCCATTACCATCCCATTTGATTTCCCCTTTATTAAGTGCGTTATGTTCTCAGTTATAGCAAAGCAGGGTCAGTATAATTATAAATCCAAACTAAACAAGAAGTAATTTATTCATGGTAAAGAAAATTTACAATTTATCACAAATTACATATCAAGACTAAGACATTCAAGAAACATAGAATATAAGAGTTGCAAACCAAATAAGAGCATATTAACACAAATTTCCAGATTTCCAGATTTTGAACCAGTTCGAAAACAATTTTGAAAAAATACTTTTATTGGCCCTAAGTACCTGGCCTCATGTGAGTTTGTAGATAAATAAGTCTAGTTTCAAACTCAATTTACGAAAGTAGGATAGGTATTTTAGATTTTAAGATAATTCAGAATTACCAAGATCTGTCCAGATTCGTTGACCGTTACGCAAATCGGTTTTTCTCTCAAACCCCTCACTCTCTTGAGTTCAAACAAATTTTAGTTAAAATATAACACCAAGATTAAGATTTTGACATAAAATTGGACTCAAGATTATTTTTCTGGAATTTTCTAAAAATAGATAAAGTTGACTGTTTTTCTGGTTCTGTGAGTAACAAACTTAGAAAATTTGTTTAGGTTATAAAAACGAATCCTTAGGACCTACAAAAATTACCACATACTCTAGACATACCAAATATTGTACCATAAAAACAGATTTTGAGTTTATGGAGTTTTGGTGGGAAAATAAATTCAAGAGAGGGAAAAGATTTGCTGCTGGAAAATTTAGAAAGAAAGAGAAGCACATCATTTCTTGATTAATACACCTTTATACAAGAGTGTAGGCCTAGACTACAACATATATATACAAAGAGCATGTATTAGGAGGGGAAAAACAAGTGGTAAGAGAACTTGAGAGAAGAGATGTTGTATGTTTACCTTTGTTGTACAAGACTAACACAATTCTTCCTTTTCTTCTCCTCTTCTCTCTCACTCTCTCCCTCTCTCGTGCTCTGGGCATACCGTACCACGCCGAGACGTTGGACCGGGGAAACACCATTTGCCTTGGCCTATGGCATGGAGGCTGTTATCCCACTAGAAATCGGCATACCGACCATCCGGTCTGAAAGTTTTCAGCCAGACTTGAATCGTGAAGCAGTGGCCTTGGAGTTTGACCTAGCTGAAGAAAGAAGGGAACGGGCGCTAATTCACATTGCAACCTACCAGCAAGAACTCTCCAGGAAATACAACAAGACCGTGCATTCAAGGCTATTCAAGATCGGAGACTGGGTCTTGAGAAAGGTGATGGGCAACACGGTGATCCCTGGCGAAGGCAAACTAAGTGCGAATTGGGAAGGGCCGTATAAGGTAACTGGCCTTGCAGGCAAAGGGGCATACCATCTAGAAGACTTAGATGGTAAAGCTATCCCCAGACCGTGGAATGCAGCTAATCTTAAGATTTTTTACTTCTAAAATGTAATTTCGTTTGTTCCCTTCTCTTTTGAATATTGGCCCTTTGGCACCAGATGTAAATCTCTGACGTGTAATGAAAGATGACCCTATATTTTCCTACCTCCGTATATTATGTGTTTCTGTACAATGACATCACAAGGGTATTGGGCCACTATGAATGCCAGGGGCAAGAAGCCAACAATGGCTTGACAGAGGCCGTACAAACAGTTGGTGTATTGTCCAACTTGCATAAGGACCGATTTGATTTTACTCGCTCGAGTGAATTGTTGGCGTTTTGTCCAACTTGCAGAAGGGCCGAGCTGATT